TTTGCTCCTGAAGATAAGCGCAGCATATCTCGATGGCTTTTGACGCGGGATAATGCGGTATATAGTTGACCATGAGTAAAAGGATCAGTTCCGAGGTCCAGAGCTGTGCAAGAGAGCGTGAGACCTTGGCAGCCATTGAAGGTATAGTCGCGTAAGCTAGTCTCAAGGAAAACTGTTTGCGATTCACCATGCATTGAAGATAATAGCTACTGCTTTTCGGATGAGGTTGGCGCACAATGAAGATGGTTGTATTTTGGAGTGAAGATCAACAGTGTCATCGAGTCAGTAACAGGTATTCCGAACGTGTGGTGAGCTGTGCGTCCGCGGTCATACGCGATTGCGCAAAGGCACTGCTGCCGACGATCAACACGATATCTCCGTGTGATCGCAATGCGGAAGATAACGCTTTCACCAAAAAGTCTTTCCTCGTCCTGGTTGACCCTCCACACGGAAAATACTGCTCTCGTGACTCTGAATTGCACGGTAAATCTGTTCGAAAATATGCGTTGTTCAACGTTCAGCATTGAGTTGATTATACATGTCCTCGCTCTCTGTGTGAGATACAGCCTTATTCCTCCGCACATATAGTTCTTCGCTGTATACTTCCAACTGTGATCTCTAAGATGTTTGTCATAGTGCGATAGATGGTCGTCGATGATTTGCAGCGCGTAGTCGTTCGTATCCACTGACATTATTTCCCAGTCTGAGGATGTGATGAAAAATAAAGAGAAGGTGGCAAGAGGATCATTAATACTTAGCCCGGAATACTTGCCTTTATCAAAGTTACATAATAAATCCCGCGGAGCCTGGCCGGCCGGCCGCGCTTGGCCTGGAACTGGTTCGGCATTTCATTGTAGACGTTTGTGTGAACTAGCTGCTTATGATGTCCCTGCGCGACATCCTCTCACACCTGACACACGATATCCCGATACATGTTTATCAGTATGTCCCCCAAACTGAGTGGCAACCTGTTGCGGAATCTTATTTGGCTGTGCCTCGGGTGTCAGTGATAAGAAGTGCGGTTTATAAATGAGTTGGAAATGAATGAGGTAAGGTCTAGCTTCATTCTGAACACATTCGCTCCCATGTCGACCAGTGAAGTTCTCCCCCAAGGTGCAGGGTATGGCGTCGGTGAGTTGGTTTCTGATTCACATGTTCCAAACACTGATCTCCAATAACGTTTCCAGTCATCGGTAGGACACATTGTAATATATCCTGTCATTTGCTGAAGATATCCAGGGATCGGACTGTTCTTCAGCGCTTTCATGGTGGGTTTGACTGCCATGCAGGCACGCTACACAGGTGTCTCCCCCAAAGATTCCGAGGAGTTTTCGTCTGCCTCGCGCTCAGTGAAGCCTGGGCTTATTGCCTCTGGCATTGTCTCTGCTTGGACGTGGGCAGCAACGCTAGTATGTCCATGTTCAACATCCATATCCACGTGTAACTTAGCGGGCGATATCACTTAGCTCCAATCTAGTGCAATTGCCTATAGATATGGCATTGCGGGGCCATGGTGGTATGCTGCAGGTGCGACGGTACAGGTCCTCTTGTTCGCACAGCTTGCTGCGAAGCTAAAGCTCAATGCTCCTTATGCACACACCTGGCTTGAGATTGTTGGCACGCGGTGGGGGACTACAGCGCATCTCATTTTCATGGTTTTCGGTCTTGCGACAAACTTGATCGTGTCCTCAATGCTTGTTTTGGGTGGTTCGGCCACCGTGACGAGTTTGACTGGGATGAGCACGATTGCTGCGTGTTTCCTCATCCCGCTGGGTGTTGCAATTTATGTCGTCGTCGGTGGAATGCGTTCCACACTGCTTTGCGATTAGTAGGTGGATGTTGTACACGCCATGTTCCCTGACCATACTTTTATTTTCAGTACACATACAACCGTCCTCTTTGCTATCATCTTGACGTTTGTGTTCACCGTATATGCAACCTCGGGCTACATTGGTTCCATCAGTCGCATGCACTATCTATTGGGTGAGGTGTCGCAGATCTCACCCGTAGCCGGTAATGCTGGCGGCTCGTACCTGACTTTCCGCTCTAAAAACGGCCTCATCTTCGGTGTTATCAACCTCATTGGAAATTTTGCGACTGTCTTCCAAGATCAGGCATATTGGCAACGCGCTATTGCTAGCAGACCTTCTACGACTGTCAAGGCGTACCTTATTGGTGGCTTGGCATGGTGAGTAACTTGGCGTATCTTTACTGGCATGTGCCGTCGTTTCTGATTCTAGTATAGGTTTGCTATTCCATTTGTATTCTCAACTACGCTTGGGCTTTCTGCGGTCGCTTTTTCTGCGGTGCCTGCTGCCAACTCTTCGTCACAAGATCCACTATCAAGCAGCTTTATTCCCCTACTTGCGCCGCTCTCGCAAGATGCCATCTCAGCGGGTCTTCCGGCTTCGCTTGCTGCTGCGACATTGCTCGGGAAATCGGGCGCAGCTGCGCTTCTTATCGTCCTCTTCTTGGCTGTGACCAGTGCCACGAGTGCGGAACTCATCGCCGTCTCTTCTATTTTGACTTACGATGTCTATGTGGTATGTTGCTTTCCGGCATTCAGCGCCAAAATTGCTTACTGTTGATCATAGAGATATATCAATCCGAAGGCTACGGAGCAACAAATTCTGCGTATGAGCCATGCTGGGGTAAACATTTTTTTCTGCAGGCATATCTAATCTCCTTATCATCTGTCTTGATTAGGTTGTCATCTTTGCCCTTGTGATGGGCATCGCCGGTGTTATTTTCTACTACATTGGGGTATCCATGGGTTGGCTTTACGTCAGTGCCTATATCCGTGCTACGTGTTGTGCCTGACATGGTTTGCAGACATTCATGGGGGTCATCCTCGGCTCTGCTGTCTGCCCAATTGCCCTTTGCATTACCTGGAAAAAAGCTAGCAAAGTGGGCTGCATTAGTGGTTCGGTCATTGGCTTTTCCGCAGGTATTATTGCCTGGCTGGTCACCACCTCTGCGCTTAACCAAAAAGTCATCAATGTCACCGTATGTCTTTTATTTTCCTATTATTTCGCTTGACCTTACTGTATATCAGACGAGCGGAGGTTAGACAACCGCCAACTTCAATACTGATGTGAAGCTGAAATGATTAATAGGCAACTACGAAATGCTCGCAGGAAACCTTGCGTCAATCGGTGTTGGTGCTATTATCTCAACTAGCGCTTCACTTATCGTGCGCAAATTGCTTTGTCTATTGATATCATGAGCTGATCAATCCTGCAGTGGCCAGATGACTACGATTTTGCTTTGACTCGTGCAATCAATGCCCGCAGTGCCGCCGTTGCCAGTACAAATATCAACGACGAACTAGAGGAGCCAGAGGATGAGAAGAAAGCACAAGATGCATCAGTGTTATCCGTGACAAATGAAGCGCAAATCGATCCCGAGTTGGACCCAGTTGGCCTAAATAAGGCATTTAAGTTTGCTGCCAGAGCATCAATAGTACTTGTTCGTACTTCAACGTTTCCTTGTAACTGCTCAGATACTGAAGCCTCTTGCTCTACAGACTTTGGTACTGATGATAATTATCCCCCTCCCCCTCTTTTTTGCCCAGACAGTCTATAGCGTTACCGGCTTGTCAGTATGGGTGATAGTCGGTATCATTTGGACATTTTTGTCGGCGTTCACAGTCGTGATATACCCCCTGTGGGAGAGCCGAGCTGCACTTCGGCTCATTTCGAGAGGAGTGATCATGGTAAGTGTGGAGTTTTTATCTTAGAGCTCATCTAATGGTGTGCAGGATATTTTCTCTCCTGGAAGTGGCAAATTTGTTGCGCCATCTTCAATGAGGAAGCCTGGCGAATGAAGTTCCGTGATAGAAGAGACTTTGGAAACTGTACTGACGACGATAATTGTATGCAGGACTCTTCCGTTATCGGTGGCCTGCATGTTCTAGTATGAAAACATTTAATTTGAAGGATACATATAAGAAGAGATTCATCAACATACAGCGACATAATAAAGTTCTAAACTGGTTTCTTCGTCTGCAGTGGTGGTAACTACGCGAGTATTGATGGAATAGATACCATCTTCAGGTGGTGCGTTTCTGCCGCGCGAATGTGCAGACGGACAGGAAGATCTCCAACGCCATCTTCTAGATCAAGGGACACCAGCACAAACCCATCACATCTTCCAAAACGTTTCTCGCGGCTCCAAAGCATAAGAAGTAGCATTTCAGTGATCGCATGTGGAGCTCAGAAGACACGTATTGGAAAAGGTGGAGTAAAAGAAGTAGGGACACGGAAATAAGCGAACAACGAATAAAAATAGGAGACTGCAGAGCGTGCGCAGATAGTGAGCGGTTGAACCATTCAGGGTGCATGTGGAGCTCAGGTGGGGCACGTACATGGGGTAGACGCGAACTACTTCCGCGGGATCAAACCTTCCGTCCTTATATATCCGAAGACAGGGTTGATATCGACAAACAGCGCAGCATAGGGAAAGGAGAACTGCACGTGTCCAGCTCACGAAGCATGCGTAGACGGCTAGGAGGAAAGTTAGAGGGGCATAGGCCCGAGGGTGCCCCGAGTATTTGTGCATGCGCAACTAGTGACTAGACGCGCTATGGTGGCGCATGCACTGCGTTGACTCTGAGTCAGAAAGTCATCCCTCTCAAAAGCCTTCATAGGATGAGAGGTCTTCTCCCCACAGGTGACTGAGTTAGAATCTGATATTTGATCTCTATCTCAAGGGCCTTCTTTGCCCGCAGTGTTACCTGTTAGTATGTATACTTATTGTGACATGCAGACGATCGACCATTCAGATCACAGGCACTATTGCTTCTGTTCGCAGAAGCAGACAACTGAGCGACGATATCTACGAAGATGCAGATGTTCGCATGCACTTATCATGACTCGGAGAAAGCCGTGGCAAGAGTACGTGGTCCTCGATCGGACCTGCATGTTACAGTGTTGATGGTATGCAGGTCACGAGGTGTTATTTATCGCAGAGACTTCGTTCATGCGCGCACCATTGAACTCGCAAGTTGGGACATCTGCTTCGATACCTAAGACAAAGGGAAGGTAAGGAAGGAAGATCGGTGTCAGACAGTCACCCCATGGATATACAATAAACTTTGATTTTAGAGGATCTCCTCTATATTTTGATGGGATGTCGAGTGGTCGTTATATTCGGGGCGTATGGCCACTTTTTTAGTATCAGCCGGAACAAGATATCAGATAAAGGAGTCATGATATGTAGTAATACATGGAAGTGACTTGTGGGTGAGGCTGCAGCGATGCCAGACCTAATACGATAGATGACTCCCACATAAAAAGACATACAGCTATAACTCACCTGCGTAGAACCTGACATCAAGTTCAGTACGGTTCGTTATAATTGAAAAGATTGGAGCCAAATTCCTCGCGCTCCTCCACATCCTTGTAAGAGTCGTGAGTAGCGTCAAGGTCCTCGCGCTTCTCCACGTCTGGCAGCAAGTTGCGTGCTTATCAACCTCAGCAGGGTGATGAAGTCATAGATACTCACAGGAACGTTTCGCGATGGTTTCTTGCGTGGGGTACGCCGTAGCAAGAACCACGATGGATGCGAGCGCGCTGAAGACAAGAGAGAGCTTCATGTTTGAGTTAAGAGGTGCGACTAGTACTTCGTCAATGCATTACATTGGAATCTTCAAGAGGGTTTTATACCTTTTCGTAGGTCCGCTCACAAGCCCAAACTCTCATCGATACCGTCTTCGAATCAGCTCGGTGCATAGGGCAGGTCCAGATTTCACGCAAGAAAGTGATAAGGCGGGGCTTCTCGCGTTCCAAAAGTAAGTTGAAGACCGCAGCAATGGGCGTCCTCGTAAATCATTCAGGCGGACCCTAAACCATTCAGGCTGATTTAGCCACCATCGCGTCGGTTAAACATTCGCATGGGAGAGACGTTCTACTACACGAGTGTACGGCACCACAGTAACGGCCTTCGGTCCCTCGCTTCACTCTTTCAAACTCCGCCATTTCCTACTTATTGAACGTTCACAAACGTAAACGTTTAGAAGCTCCTGTGCGACGATGGTAGAAGAGCCTTATACACAAGGAGGTCGCCTCCAACTACAGGTATCTCTTTTAGACGACGAGAAATCCTCGTTCATGTGCGCTGCTCTCATCCGCAAAGCATTTACCCCTGTCACTAAATGCGTGGTCTTACTCGTCGAAATCGAGGATGTCCTTGTCAGAGCCGGCCTCCCCAATCAAAATATACGACCCTCGTTTCAACTGCGAGCGCGCATCCCCACTTCCGAGACTATCTCCCATCTTTTGGTCTGCCGCCAATGAAAAGGCTGCAGCTGACCGTCGTACACTCACACCAGGCGACGATTCAGACCATAGATTCTTTCCATGGGAGAGAGAGTTCTTTGACGGCTCATCGTGGGAAGAAGCCTACTACCGCGAGTATGAGAGGTCATTTGCACGTGAAGTTGAAGCCTACAGATGTCTTGAACACCTTCAGGGCTCTACCATCCCCCGGCTCTATGGTTTAGGTCAGGTCCTTTCAGGCCACGGTGAAGGTCGTGCCATATCTCCCCAAGTGCTTTTCATGGAATACATCCCGGGCGAGAACCTCGCAACCATCCAAGACCCTCATTCAGTCCCTAGTTCAGCATACCAGGAGTTCGTAAAGGCTGTGAGTAGCCTTGCGTCTTTCGGTATCATCCATGCCGACATGCGCCCAGAAAACATTGTCGTATCTTGCAGTCACCCTAGACGAGCGGTGCTCATCGACTTTGGGATGTGTCTATTTCGTTATACTGATGAGCCTGACGACAACTGGGAAGAGAATGTCATGATCGAAGGGGATGAGAGAGAGCTCCGGCGCTATTTGGAGAGGTTGGGCATTTGGCAGGCTCAATAAGGTGATCATAATGACACACGAGTTAGCACAAATTAGTATCAAGATTCAAAGAGCCATCGATCAATTCCAGTGAATTTGGTATCATTCACACCCGTCAACTAGACCCTCGTAGAGGCCGTGCTAATTTGCCGGTGAACCGGAGCAGGATTCCTAATTCCCCAAACCCTGACACTGTCACCAGATGATAACTTAGTGGCACGAACGCTCATAGGGTATAGCACGGGTATGGGCCATACCGCGGGTATGGGGGTCACGGGTATGGCGGGTACGGGTACGGTGTAGAGATTTGGCACCCGTGGTCATACCGTACCCGTTTGCACGGTATACGGGTATGTTCACGGGTACTAGTAGCCGCGCTATCTCCGAATGTTCTCCGCGGTGTTATATATTGGACATGACAAGGATTCACCACTCACTACGATCCTTATTTTTCGGAGGGTCGTTGACTGCAACAGTGACGGTTGGACATGACAAGGATTCGCCACTCACTACGATCCCTATTTTTCGGAGGGTCGTTGACTGTAACAGTAACCCGTTGCACTCGGCGATTCAACAGTATAAAGTGAGGTATGTAGACTCTCAATACCATTTATTCCATCATCATCATGGTTAATCAGTCTACTGTCAATGACACGGCCTCGCTCGCTGAGTCTACCTCAACATGTTTAAATATATCGTCATCTCCGCAGCCCATAGTGGACAATGTTGCAAAACGTGTCAAGCTTATCCTTGCACAGGCCACAGCAACCCCCTCTGAGTTGCACTCCGCTGCTCCGGAAGTAATTGATGTTGATGTTGATGTTGATGAAAATGATGTGGCACCTCCTGCCGCCGAACAGGATGACGAAGCTGATCTAAGTACGTGAACTTATTGCTCGCGTTTGCGTGGACCTTGATTAATTTTCGCTCACAGATACTCTCAAGAAAACATGGCGTTCAGCAGTCTATTCGTTTTTTAAGCTTGACGCTGTGGCTGTCCAGTATCACGATGGACGTCTAGTTCATTTCTTCCCTTGCGGGGCACACAAGTGCAAACTCCCTTCCGGAGGTGTCCGCCGCTTCCAGGACTCCAGGGACAAGTCATCGACTACGAATCTAAGGCATCACGCCAATGGCTGTTAGGGCAAAGAGGCAGTTGATCTTGCATTTAGTGGCGGAAAGGTACAGGCCACGAGCGGATCAGTTTTCTCTGAATCTCGTCCGAGAAGAGTACATAGATCGTTACAAAGACCAGGTCTCACCTTCAACTCCAGCTGCACATGTCTCGGTAGAAGACAAGGTACGACAATGTGCTGATGACTTTGGTGACATATTTCTTGGCACAGCAGCATCTCTAGTAGATGAGCTTGACGACTATTTGAGGCAACCAGTAGAGAATACCAAAGTCCCACTGCAATGGTGGGTCCATAATCAAAAGACGTATCCGAATTTGCACCGGATGGCACTTGATTACCTTAGCATTCCTGGTAGGTTGTGCATCATCGCTCTCGCTAGCATCGCAGCTTATGTGTTACACACCATAGCTACCTCGACTGCAGTCGAACGTGTATTTTCGCAAGGCCGGCACCTTCTGTACTTCACTCGAAACCGCTTGTCTCCGTCATCGACTCGCGCATGCCTCTGTCTTGGCTCGTGGCTCCGCTGTGATCTGGTAGCACTCGAGGATCTTACTAAGATCATGAAGTCTGTGAAGAAAAGAAAACGAGAGGACGAGAGTGTTGGGTGAGGTTATTAGACCTACAGGCTACGTAGTGTTACTATTTCTTGTATGTGTACCCGCGGGTAAATGCAACACCGCGGGTAAGCTGCTATACCGCGGGTTAGTACGGGTAATACCGTACCCGTACCCGTACGGGTACGGTGTTGACGGGTACGGGTACGGTGTTCATCTTCCGACCCGCGGGTACACCCGTGCTATACCCTAAACGCTCAGCGGGTCTGTAGTTGGGTCAAAAATAGTCAGACAACTAGGATTGTATTACATGGGCGTGCAATGTGTCAGAAATCAAGAAATCAGATAAGAGAGTCATGATATGCAGTAGTACAGCGAAGTGACTTGACTGCAACTTTGCCAGACCTGAGACCTAGTACGATGGATGACCCTCACATAAAATAGGACATACGGCTATAACTCACTTGGGCAGAACCTGGCGTCGAGTTTGGTATGCGCCTTAATCAGATATCAACATTGAGTTCCCGTGCTTCTCCTCACCAAGGGGGTAAAGGAAGTCACTAGCGTCGATTTCCTCGCGTTTTTCCTCACCGAGGGGGTAAAGGAAATCACTGGCGTCTATTTCATCGCGCTTCTCCACACCAACGTAATTGAAGTCATTGGCGTCGAGTTCCTCACGCTTCTCCACATCTAGTAGCAAGTTACACTCATCGACCTCAGCATAGTGAATGAGTCATGAATACTCACAGGAACGTTTCGCGACGGTTCCTTGTGTGGGATACGCCGTGGCAAGAACCACGATGGATGCGAGCACGCTGAAGACAAGCGAAAGCTTCATGTTTGAGTTAAGAGGTGCGACTGGTATCAATACAGAAACAAGACCTTCTCTAGAATATTACCGTCTCCTTCGCTGGTCGCCATGGCTAAGCCATGGCGTTCTTCGTGCTGTGGGTATGGGCGCCATCGATCGATGGCGTTGTTCTGTACTGTAGGTAGACGGTTAGCGTCAACGCACAGGACCTTGCTTACTCGTCGACCACAGCCCCAGCAAACGAGGCGATTGAATCTATCGGCATTATAAGATTCAATGGAACTCTGGGCACCCATTCTATATATCGTGGCAGCCCGTCTCCAGAAATCAACGCCGCTTGGGATAGGATATCTCTTAATGGTTGCACTCCATGCTTCACTTACATCATAGACATTTACTGACTCGAGCTATATTTCCAAGCGCGTCCAGTTCGTATGACGCTTGAGCAATTGCTCAAAACTGGGGAGAAACATTCTCCCGCCATGACTAGGTATCCGGATGAATACGGTGGAGGTTACATGGCAACTGTAGAAGTCATTCACCAGCTCGATTATATAGTCAGTTGTAATACAGGGAGACTAGTCGATCTTTACTCACTCCGCTGTAGGACATGCTTCGCAGAGTCAGCTGGGGTGACCATGATGATTCCTCGGGCCATGACTCCCACGAATCCCCCTGGCGCACTCGCCTCGGTAGGTACATTGTTTCCTCTCCAGCCCACATCCTGCTTACTAATATGTTATACCTCAGACCATTGCATCGAAATGCTCAGGCAGAATATTATGTGTCGTGGCGACGTGACGATGCTCACTTATGACTGGGTGGAGGGACTCGAAAATCCCTTTCCTAACTTCAACGTTCCTCACCAATGCAGAAACTTTGAGAAGGTCTTGAATTGGGTTGATGAGCATCGTGTTTTTATCCCTAAATCTAAGGTGGTCCGCTTGGAGGATAACGTGGACCTGTCTTCCCCTCCTTGATTGCAGTCTCGAAATATTCAAATGACAACTCTCGCGTAGTTCACGATGTGACGAATGTAGCAGAGCCGCCTACGAATGTCCTTGAACATGTTGCAAAGTCGAAGGGAAGTCTTACCTTTGCTGAATAAATTAATAACATCATTTGCAAAATACATGACAGCACACCTTCAGCTTGATGGCATTTTGATACAGTTCTTAAGAGACAGGCCAACCGAAGGGATGTTCTATTCTAAATACATGTAGCTACTACGCTGGTCACCAGGCAGCACTTCTCGGTGCCTATCCAGGTTAAGGGCTTGGATTTTTTTACCTTTTACTTGGCCGGCTATTTGACACGCGGGGCCACGATGTGAGTTCCCCGTGTCTCGCGGATAGTTCAACATGCGCTTGATCATGCGTATTCAGGCCAGATGTTTGTGTCTCTTCGTTTGTCTCCGACTTAAACTTATGGGAGTGCGGGCAGGTTAAGCGAACCGAGGCGAGTAGACTGGACAATGAGCTAGTAGGAATACGTTATCTTGGTCGTTCATAGGAACTCTCGTGTATGTGGCGAGTACCTAGTAAGAATATATTCTGCTTGAGATGTTAGCACACATTCTATTGAAGGGAAGTAGGAACTGAGGTGCTCGTAGTATGGATGGGCTCGTAACTCGTTTTTAAGGGTAAGTAGCATGCTAAGCTGCATAGAGATGAAAATTTGTTCATAGCTTAGGAACGACACACCGTTCATGCTGTAATAGGTCGAACATCGGTCGATGACAAACATTATACCATTTGGTGACGGTCGTCCATATTCCGTCGAGATCATTCCTGAGTCGGACTTTAACAGCAGGTTGCTAGGAGGCGTTAAGGAATATAGCAGGAGGTTGGTCCCAAATAATGCAAGGGCAAGCAACTGGAGCGGAACTTCGGAAGGAAGCGGCAGTGTGAGATGCATTGGGAGGCAGCAGAGAACACAAGGACGCAGCGTTCAGATGTGGGTGTTGTAGGACAGGCCGAGAATGCAAGGGTGGCGGTCACGTTACAATTTGAGTTCTTGACAGGTTAAGACTTGACAATTAGTTTTGAAGCTTCGGAGGCAGATGGCAGAGGTGGGTGGTGTTCGAGAGTGTTGTTTGTCCTTGTTAGGCTTATGCCCAAATCGAAATGGTGGCCCGTGCACTCTTGTCCTTTCGTATAAAAGGGAGTTGGTCACAATCTGAATCCTTACCACTCTGGCCTTTTGGCTTAGATCAAGTGTAGTATCTGTTCTTAATAGTTTAACCACTATTATGAGGGCACCGCCCTCATTCTTTGGTTATCAAATTTTTGCCGCCCTTGTTCTTCCGAGCTCTGCTTGCAACTTGGAGGACATGATGACCTTGCTACTGCACTACTGGCTTGCGTCGTTGGGGGATTTCTTTTTTGGGATCTCATCTTCTCTTTGCTCAGTAACTACTCCATAGTCTCTTGGCTATGTATGGTGCTTGGCAAACAGAAATTGTGCTCTACCTTTCATTTTTGTAATTTGAATGTTATCAAGGTGTAGGATGATGTAGCTTGCTCGTGTTTTCTGGTGTGTATCTACGCAACTTCTCGTCCTCATTTTGACTCTGGCCTACCGTCTACTTAATGAGTTTGTTACTCGTTCTTTGCGCCCACCCTGGGTACATGTTGTAACTTCTGTTGCCGCACTATTTCGTCGTCGGTGTAGTGCGAATAAAGTATATTTGTTGATGGTGCCATGCGAGAGTCAGCGCACGGTCGAACTCGTAAGCAAGTTTCCCGCCCCCCCAGCGGCTCCATCTGCTTGTGTCCCACTCGAGCTAACGTTCGGTTCAGCCCAACTTCGTTAGATCGTGTCATTGACTCCAGAGCCAGACGAAGCTACGTCTGTTCGAATTTGTTCGTGGCAACTAGCAACATGACAATATTGACAATTGTAATGCTATTGGTCTTGGTTTGCTCACACCCACGTACAAGTCGGATGCTATTGATTGGAAATGTAAGCAGGGATGGGCGTAAACCATATATGCATAAACTCCCAGGTGTGAACGTCCCTTTAAATAATTACTTACTTTGAATTCCTGGCGGAGGTTTTTCCTGGTGGCCTGATGTGAACCGTTTTTACCTCTTGAACAGATGCAGTATTCAGCTGACGATGTCGCAGCGGCCAGTAGTCTGCAGTTCTTAACGGTGCATCGCTTTCTTGTTAATACGAGGTCAGATATTAACAAATATACTTCCCATGCGCCACCAGTACCTATGCGGTGCGTCCTATCTGAACTACTCCTTCCTTTTCTAACGTGACAGCGGCTTAGTGTCAACGGCCACATTCTGGGTAGGCGCGACCCGATATATTCCGACTGTCTGCTGTTAAATTCGCATGTCCAGACCTATTATTATGCTTGGTCACTTCACGAAGAGGTGCTACTTGTTTTCTGATCTGCCTCGGTTTTCATATTGATGATCAATATATTGCGCCTTGAAAGTGGACATTCCTACTTCGGTCGCGCTGGAACAAGGTAAAATGCCTATATATCATCACACGAAATGTCCCATTTGTCATTATCACCTTGGATTTATATCGTGCGTTCAGCTCCAGCATACATCCTCTCTACAATAAATTGACATGTTGTGCCTCAGTGTATTTCACCCCGGACAACCATTCCGAGGTGTGTCAATGCGCAGTCTAGTGGATGACGCCTACTTCATGACTTCACTAGAAATGCCTGATGTTGATCAATATTTACTCAAGTACGTGCACGGTATATGCTGAATGCACGTCCTTGTCGAGCGCTGCCCTTTCCTCTCACAGGTTTCGGCTTCATATCCGTCGTTTGCTCTGAATGTATTTCCCATTCCTCCGTGACATACACGTGCTTCTGATCCGACTTATCCAGCCATTTTTGTGCTCAGAACATATGCGCTCTGGAACAATAATAAATTCGTTCTGGTAGCCACGGTATGCACCGCTATTGTGAGTCCCATACCCTCGACACACTCAAGCTTACAATTGATGAACGAGCTAGACCTTTGTAATAGCGTCCATCGATGTTGCTTTCACCACTATTGCCGCCTCACATGGTTGTTCTTCCCCTACTACTATTCTGACATATTGACTCCACTTTTACAGTTATGACCAGCACGATTCCAGGCATCACAGGCTGCTACCGGACCTCGCATGGTATCCAACTCTCCATGCCGTTTCTTCTCTTGTTTGTATTTGAACTGGGTATGTCGTTGGGAATTGAGACAATACCTACACTACAGGCCCGCGCTGATCACGCTCTCCCTAGGACTAATCTCTCTCACATTGATACGTGCCATGCAGAACTGGCGGACAGTCAACGGCCCTCTGTACACCGTCCTGGTGAAGCATAATATATTCTACTATGCATGCGGTTTGTGTGAGTCAAGACATGCATATATTTCTGTGCTCATCAGTGATGACCCTTGTTATGAAAGTTCTTGCGGCCGTGAACGTCCTCATGCCAATGCTGTTTTCCCAAGTACGTAAATCCTCAATACCCTTTATGATCAAGTCATTGATACTCCTCACACCCAGTACGCAATTCACTCCGTCTTCGAAAAGTATGCATCTCCAAACTCCGCTGCTAACGACTTCCTAAAACACACACAGCCTCCAGTTCTATGTCCTTGCGATCCTCGCAACCCGCATGCACCTCCATCTCTGGAATGTCGGTCAGGACCTTCATATACGTGGTTCGGATGCCCTCATGCTTGCTCTTATGTCCGACGGGCCACTACATTTCTCTGATGCCCCTGTGCTTACACCCATACCCGATGCGCCAACTGCAGACCAGACGGTATGACCTCTTATCATGTGGCTTATTCGGCGTCGTTTGGAATACAGACAATTATATATGACCGGACTCTCGTCAATACCCTCTTGCCCCAGTCTATTATCTGGGGACAGACGATATATGTTACTTCCCACCCACGTATACGCTGATTTGTACTCAAGTCTGGTTACAGCGTTTAATTTTCACATAGTGGGGTTGGTGTTGCCAGTGGTCGGGTTCGGGATGACTTAGTTTATAGGAC